TTTTCTGATTTTTTGAATGTGGCCATTTATGAAAAAGCTAATCAGGCTTCTCTCTAAAGGTTAAAAAACAGTTGCCCATATTTTCATAATTCACCCCATTTCTCCCAAAGATTTTCCACCGATGAAATACGTTTGAAATCTGGGTTTGAATCTATAGAGACTTTTAGAGAAGAACAGAGAAAAAAATGGTGTTCATTACTGAAGATATCATCAAGCAATTTGGAACTATGATGGAAAAAAGTCAGCTTTCTCATAAACTGTATTTTTTGAGTTTTTGCTCTCTAGATCTGGGAAGCACTGATATGTTGCTAATTTTCATTGCAGCTGATGAACCATTGAAGAAGACTTTTCAGGTTTGGCATCTTTGCTGATCTGTTTTTTGCAAATAGATTTTCTTGAATCTGGGTTCTGCTTTCTTGTTTTCTTTGTTTATTCACTTATTTATTGTCTGAACGGGGGAAATTGGATATTGGAATAGTCAATGTCAAGTCAAAGAACTTCTTTATAACTCAGATTTGAGTTTTTTGGAGGATGTGACCAAATATTTCGTAAAATGTACTACTTTAGACATTGGGGGTTGGGGCGGGGGGGGGGGGGGGACATTTGAGTTTCTGAGAGATTCAAAATTGGAGTTGGGGGTACATTTGAGTTTCTGAGAGATTCAAAATTGGAGTTTTGATGAAAATGCGATCTTCAGATTTGTAGAGTTTTCATTTGGTTTGGTCTGGTTTTATTTCATGATGCGGTTTTTTTATACCAGAATTTAGTATCCATTGAGTGTGCAGGGAAATTAGGAGTTGGAGTTCTAACGTGATCTTCTTTTGTATACATGGAGGCTTTGCATTATTCAGTTTTTTTTTATTCTGCAATCCTTGTGTTTCGAGGCAGTCTTGTCTCTGATTATTAAAAATCTGCTTTTTTTTTTTATTACAATTCTATTCAACAAATATAATTTATAATCCTTAAACAATCTCCCCTTAGCTTCACGGTTCCCTTATCATTTTTAAATTAGAGATTCATTCAAGAAAACCAGTTTTGTCACCATTCTCGAAAGTAGAAGGTGATTGACTCTCAAATTGCTGGAAAAAATAATATTAGTGCATTGGAACCCAAAATCAATATAAAGATGGAGAAAAAGAAAAATAGATGATGGACGCATTTCGAATATGAGATATTCAAAGCATGCATGTGAAGCCACATCATTAAAGAACCGAGTGTGAAAATATTCATTCACTTCCCACATCTACTAGTTTTTGAAGATGAAGAATCTCTTGTTTAGGATATCTGAAAAGATTATATGGACGAATTTTCAGTTCGAATATTTTATGGATAAATAAAGTACAAACTGTTATATTTTGTCCTGGTTTGCAGAATATACATCAAGAGTACCCCACAGAGAATTTGGTGAGATTTCTCAAAGCAAGGGATGGGAATGTCTCCAATGCATATAAAATGGTATGGCACACTGAAAATTTCAAAGAGCATGTCAATTTAGATTAAGTTTATGTATTTTCATGGATTCTTACCAAATGTACTCATTATGTTTCAGGTCATTTACTTTAGATTAAGTTTATGTATTTTCATGTATTCTTACCAACTGTACTCATTATGTATCAGGTCATTGACTGCTTGAACTGGAGGATACAAAATGAAATTGATAACATATTGGCTGTGAGTTTTCATAATCACATTCTCTTTAAGTACATGCATCATCAGTCTATGGTAACCAATTTTAGTCTTGACTAATGCTATTCATAAAAAAATGTTAGATCTTCATACGCTTTAAGTTTAGCCAATTATTTTGTTTCTACAAATCATTGCTTCTCTTTTCTGAACGGCCATAAAACAATCTTGTACTTGTAATGGAATTATGCCATATAAGAAGCATGATTTGCAGTTTCATGAGATTTGTGTCTGTACCTCTGGTTCTTGTATCCAAAGATAATGGTTTTCATCATGAGAGTTTATCAAAGCTATAAACGGCAAAGATGCCAGTTCATCTGATAGGTCGGAGAACTTTTGGATGCTTATAATTTTGTTGACATAGAATCGGTAACTTTAGATAAATCAAGAAAAGATCTCAGAAATTTTAAATTTATTATTTCAAAAATGTGGATATCCACTGTTGCAACATACATACCAGAAATTACTTGGTGCATCCAATAACCATCATATGCTAGTCAAGTAGAGAGGTTATTGTTTGATTTTTATAATGCAAGTGATTACTTTTGCAGAAGCCAATTATCCCTTCTGAGTTGTATAGAGCAATACGTGATTCTCAGCTTGTAGGAATGTCTGGATACTCGAAAGATGTAAGGCTTAGATGCATCACTGGGAGTGGAGTTTCCTTTTGTTTCACCAGAATTCAAAAATTGACTTTTACCAGGAAAAGAGATTCTAATCTTGTCACTGCAACTATTTTTTTTTCTCAGACATAGCAAAATATGGAGCTGATACACTTTGAAAACACGAACTTAAAATTTCTTTTTAATCCAGCTCATGACCTTTTACTTATTAATCATTTAGGGTCTTCCTGTCATTGCCGTCGGTGTGGGGCTCAGCACGTTCGACAAAGCATCTGTAAGATGTCATGCCTTTGATTTATCTAACCTTGTCTAATTTTGCAAATAATGTGGATATTTAATAGGAGCCTATTGTTGAAAGTATTTTCTGGTGTAACGCTCACTAATATTAGTCTCCTTCATTTTAGATTCACTACTATGTCCAGTCACATATCCAAATGAATGAATACAGAGATCGTGTGATTTTAGTAAGTTGTGGCAACTAAATATTCAGAATGTTATATATATTTCTGTCAATATTTAAATTTCTTAGACTTAATCTACTTCATGTTATAGCCTGCCGCAACAAAAAGATTTGGGCGATACATTGGCACTTGCATAAAGATTTTGGACATGACTGGTTTAAAGTTTTCAGCACTAAATCAAATTAAGGTATTTCTTCTGTTGCATGGCCACCTCTAATGATATTTCTTCTCTAGTTAATTTACACATCATAAAAGTCCCTTTTCTGAGCAAGAATTTGGCGTTGAATAGTTGGATTTTCTTTTTTTTAATCATCTTATGTAGACCAAAGCTACTAGCTATTTATCCGTGTATTAAATACTGAAATATTATTGTTTATTTGTTCACCATGTTAACTAACCGGTATTGCCTGTACTCTTTCCGGTGCAGTTGTTGTCTGTAATATCTACCATTGATGACCTTAACTATCCTGAGAAGACAGAGACTTATTTCATAGTTAATGCTCCATATATATTCTCAGCGTGTTGGAAGGTTTGACATATATGTTCCCATTGTGGTTTTCAGTTATATGCATTTGATCAAAATCTAACAAATAATGTTTTCTATCGGTTTGAAGGTTGTGAAACCTCTTTTGCAAGAGAGAACACGGAAGAAAGTGCAGGTCCTTTCAGGCTCTGGAAGAGACGAATTATTGAAGGTAAGGACACTCTTCTGGTAAAAAGAAGTTCATCAAAATTGAAACGAACACTCTTCTAGTACATGGTTTTTGAAGGAATAATGCCTCTCTTAATTATAAATTACATTGAATTTATGTGAAAATCATGTTTAGTGGTCATGTATGGTGGCCTTTGATCTCCCTTCTTGTAGTTAAGCTATTCCATTAGAAATCCCTTATGGCATGTCTGGTACAGGGATTGGACAGTGTAAGAAAGAACGAGAAACTGAAATTTTGTCTATTGTGCAATTGTACTGTCCAATCCGGTTTCATCCTGCGAAACAAACATGCCCTTAATACATAAACACTGCATAACCAAAGAGACTGCTTATTTTGAATGTGGTGTTCATCTTTGAGAATTCTGACTCATAATTCATTGCAGATTATGGATTATGAATCACTCCCACATTTTTGTAGAAGAGAAGGTTCAGGATCATCTCGGCACTCTAGGAATGGAACAGTTGGTGATTGTTTTTCCTTTGATCATGCCTTTCATCAGGAATTGTACAACTATATTAAGGAGCAAGCTGCACTCAGGCAGCCGGGTGCACCAATCAAACACGGTTCATTTCATGTGGATTTTCCTGACCCTGGTCCAGAAGATGTCAAAATTGCTGAAACTATTGAGTCCGAGTTTATGAGACTTGGGGAGCAAAACGGGCTTTCTCATTCTTAACACGGGCTTAAAATAAACGGGGACTGACTGAAGCTGGATGAAAACTTGTACGCATCGGCTGAGCCTTCTCCCAAATAGCTTTGGAGACTTGCATTATCTGTATGCAGGTTTGGGGGCTAACTTAAAATTACAAGTTGACCACCTTATCAATCAAAAGTTTTTCCCAGACTCAAATCGAGTTCATAGTATAGTATTCATGTTCTTATTGTATTTCTTCATAAAGTTCATTTTCCACCTGAAATTGTCTCACAAGTTATGGCTAGTACTACTCTTGTTAGCATTGTTTACAAATTGCTCGTTTTACATCTCACTATTGCAACAGCCTGTGAGAGGAGGTAACGACAGTCTGGCTTCGGGTTTGGTTTAGCAAAACTTCTGTTAAATGGCCATGGCTCGTTTGGCAATTTCTGTTTGGTTTTTTGCTAAGACGAATATAATGAAGGGATGAGGAACAAAGTATCCCATAAGTTTCTTGTCACAGTATGCAAGAATTTAATAAGTTCGGGCTAAAATTCCTCGGGGTTTCAACCTTTGTGCACCCGCTTATGTTGGAGTGATTGATTGCTTTGAAAACCAACTTGAGTAAAAAGTTCGATTCCTGTACAACAATTTAATAACACAGTGTACAAACCTCTAACCCTAAAAGAAAACAAAGTCTTTTAGGTGTTCCAAATTCAGCCATAACAACAATGGGAAGCAAGCGTAAACCAGCAAACACCATAACCACATTCCTGTAAATCTACTCCTTTCTTCGTTCTCCAATGGCACATTGCTCCAAACTACGTTTTTTTATTTTAATTCATGATATATGTGCAACAAAGAAGACTACAGAACTGTTAAGAATTTAACCCAACTGCTTGTAGCAGTTATAGGCAAAGGCGACTGATATAGCAGCACCTATAACAGCAAGTGCGGCATATGTGTCTTCACGCTCCCAGCATTCATACCAAGTAGGCATTGAGCAAACCTTTCGAGCGCCAGCCCCTTTGCCATTATTACTTCGAGAAGCTTGCTTCTTGGAGTTCTTCATTTCAGCTTTAAATTTTGCTGCCCCCTTGGGAAAATCAGAATCCTCATCCTCCCTTTTTTCTTGCAACGTAGGGTTTTGACAGCAAGGGGAGCCTTCATTCCCTTGACAACATCTTGTGCCGTCCAATTGAGATCCACACGTGTTGGCCCTCACATCATTTATTTGCATCGAGTCCTTTACGTTTGTTTCCACATTGGTCCCACCGTGAACCTGAAGCCTTAGTTCCTGTGATTTTTTCTGGTCTTCTTCTGATAATCCCATCTGTCCCCTGAAAAAAAAATCACAATGTCTAATTTCAGCTTGATATAGTAGTCGCGCATTACTTCATTATGCAACTTAATTCCAAAATGGTAGTGTAAAAAATAGACATAAGAATTGGAAATTACCTCCACAGATAATCTACAATTTCTCCTTTCCTAATATGCTGTTCCAGAAAAAGAGGTACATCTTCGGGCATAACATATCCATACCTGCAATAGTAATCATACCTTTTTCTGTTTATCATACTTGAGAGTTAGATAAAAACAAAAACTTGACTTCTAAAATAATAGTAGATGAAATAGACTTGTTAACCACATACCAGTGCCCAGTGACTTCTTTTTTAGCATTTGGTCCAAATATGATCACATTTCCTGCATACTTATGCCCTCCAATATGTGAGCATGGGCTTACGGACACTTTACCTTGCAGACCACGAGACTCTATCTCATCTTTGAATCTGCTAATCACAGAAGGTCCACAAATTCCACACCGTTTATCCCTTGTACTATGGCAACATACAAAGATGTACCAACCTCTAAGAGCTTCCGGGCTTCCGGGCAACCACTCACCATCTTTAACAAACACTTCCTCAACAAATGTGTCGACATCAAAATGTGTTAATCTCCTGCAATTATTTAATATCAAATGCTAAGAAAAGGCCATTTCTTAAAGGCTCTTAAGCCATTAAAAGATTAATAGCATTTTAACCTGTATCTTATCATGTCTGGAAAGATTAACACGTCACCATTTGATGTCTCAGTTCCATCATGTCCCTCGCATATTGTTAAGCGGGTCTAGAAGGGAGAGAGGGAAAATGAAAGTCAAACAATTGAAGCCCAGCCATCACCCATGAAAAATTAATCAGAGTCATAATCAATATGAATTAGTTCAAAAGGCCACAGCACTTGTGGAAACACAAAAAGATGTACACACACATGACCAGAAGGCAACTGATTCGTGCTCCAGAATGCTTACCCAGACACAAAAAGTAAAAGTGTAATACTATCCTCACAAGTCTTGGCTGGGATTAGAAGTTAAACATAGAAAACACACAGCTCCTCCCAGGAATAAAAAGGGGTATAGAACTTGAAAGAAGTAGTTGTTCCATTTTGTTGAAATATTCCATTCTCCAGCTTGTTCAGCATGCTCCTCCAGCTCAACTTCTTCTAGATCCTCCTCAACAGATCACACGATTCAGCAGCTCTTCTCACATGCTCACCAGCACATGCAGCTTATTCTAGATTGTTCTTATGTTTGTTAGTTTGTTAGAAGTTTTATCTATAAATATAGCAATGTAATCACCTTTACAATTGTGCTTGATGAATTAATAAATAACTCTCCTATCATCAGTTCCTTCAATGTGTTTTACATATTGAATTTATCTTTTCATTTCCTGCTTCAGTTTATTTTCGTTCCTGCATTAGAGTAGCTTAATTTCAGTTTCTATCCTTTAATTTCTGCTGCTCTTCTGATCTATTATTGCTGATTTCGATTTCTTAAGACGTTTTGCCAGGTTAGAGACCATAAGTTACCAAAAAAAAAATTCCTTATTATAGTAACATAATTAATATAGATACAGTTTCTGTAATAGAAGTGTGGATACACGTTTGTTCATGAACAGGTGCACACAAATAAAGCAAAAAACTGTGGAAAAATTTTGGATATCTATAAATCCTGATTATATGACACCAGTTTCAGCATTACTGCTCTGTAACACATAGTTATGCAATAACATATTCATTTTCATGCAACGGAACATCAGTATTGCTCCTTTACTCCTTTAGATCCACAAGAAGTAACGTATCTCGAAAATTACACAAATAAGTGTAGCATTTTCCTTTATGGGAAAATACGTTAATGTTTTACCAAATTAGTAGAGAACAGATTAAAATCATTAATCATCCCAGTGACAATCATTCCAATAGTTTTCATATCAAGATAACATTCTATTCTTAGTTCAACTCCACCGGAACATAGAAAAATTTGACTAAGCACAAGCATAGCACTGATCAAAAATTTTTCCATTCGTTCGACCTACCTTAAAAATCATTTAGATTCTAAACGACAAATGGAACAAATATAAAAAATCGGAGTTTCCAGCGAACTCAGAACATACAAACAACCCTCCCAACCCCAGCATTAACCCAACGAAATTTCGTTAAAACAAATAATGATGAAAAGAGAAACACAAAAAGATTTGAAAAAATAAAAACCCAGAAACCTGTCGCTTCATATCAGCCTTCCGAGCAGTCAAAGCAGCAGCAAGAAGCCTGGGAAGTCGATCGAACTCCGCAGCCTCAATTCGCGGAGGCCAGACCTGTGGGTTCTTGTAACACAGAAAAACATGACGGTCGTATAGCTCAACAGTTCCCACAAGTGAGCCCTGTCGGAAATCGGGACGGGAGAATCCATAATCAGCCTCGTTAATCAATCCGGTGTCGAAACCGCCGCCGCCAAGAAATCCCTCGTTCTGGAAGCTGCCAGAGGCGCTGCCGATTGGAGGGGTGTCAAGGAGGTAGCTTTCGAGATCGGAGACTGCTACAGGCGATGAGGAGGAGGGATGGTGAGGGTGGTTTAGGTATAGAAGAGGGTCGTCCATTACCGTATTCGACACTGGATTTTTCTCGAGAGTGAGTGAAATTTTTTCAATTAACAGTAGGAATGGGAGTGAGAGTTGGTCAACGTCTTTCTTTCCTTAAACCGACCGACCAAGAAATAATTATTGGTTGGTGCTGCTAATAAATTAGAACAATGCTACATATTCAATATTTGGTAACAACCTTTCAAAATGAAGTTGGACCTTGCGATTAAAATAATAGTGGCTCCACCTCTCTTGTAATAGGTTGTAACCAAATGTTGTACAATGACCATTGTTCTGAAAAATTAACATTTACAAGGAACTATAATGTCACCTGATATTGTATCATTTATCACTTTAAAATATAATAATTTTGTCTTTCAATCTTTTTCCTCCACGTCATCTTCGATAACTTCTTATGTACATTTTTTATGTCCAAATAGCAAAATCCATAATTATTTAGGGTCAATAAAAACAATAATGCTACACGTACATCATTCACATTTTATTTTTCACACTTACCACACGACAATTTATCATTGAATAATATAAATTTTATACAGTTTTTCACCCAATCAACACTTGTAAACACTGATAATGTCAACAATCATGTCAACGAAGGAGTGTACAAGTGACATTTTCCCAGTAAAAAATAAAGAAAATGCTATTTGTACATTCCATGTATACATTAAAGTTGACATTGTATGAGGCGTAAAAATTTGTGTCATGAATTATTTAAAGTGTTGCTGCAATCAAGGATAAAAAATTGTTTCATCTCACATGTAGTGTTCGAATTTCAAAAATAAAAGAATATGAATAAGGATTTTCACTTCCTAGTTTCTATTTAGGGTCATGTAATTCTAATCTGATAGGTCTAAATTCGTTAGTCCAACTCTGATAGGTCTAAATTCAACTTGCTTTACAAGTTCATTTTATGAATGTTCTTCTCAGAAATCATAACTTGTGTTACTTGTTGAATTATATCACTATATCAGAATTACACATCATGAATACTGATTTAGTGAGACATTTGACATATGTATATTTCAATTTTGGTGTCCTCCATTTGCTTCTCAGTGCTCAACAACACTTTCACTCTCAAATCATGCATCGCTTCTTCTGGAAGTGCTACTTCAAGCTCAAACATGACTTTCCGAGCTTCAAGTGCAGATTACTCCGAATGCTCTTTCTTACGATATGTTTCGATTCTAATATAAGGATCATCGTAGTCTTCTCAGTTAGTTCTCTTATTCAACCACTTTAGGTAGCAATTCTTTTGCAGAATCCAACTCGAAAGTCGAATTCCTCACATAACAAAGATCAGAAGACCTTGCAACACTAGATCATTTATATATATGATCGTCTTTTGCCATCATAGTTACGTTGAATATGGTTTGTTTGAGCTCAAAATTAAGTGAGACATACTTCAAATGAGATGAGCATATTCATGTTCTACTTCCCAAGATAAATAAAATGATATATTTATTTGTTAAAACTCATTAAATATTGAATGAAATATTTGAATCGTAAGTCATATATGTGAAACATGGAATACAAGTTAATACTTCATCCGTCCCAATTATATAGGCTTGTTTCGTTTTTCACACGGATTAAGAAAACTTCTTTAATATAATTGAAAAATTAATTTTTGCCAACATCTTTCATAGTTTACCTCTATTTAATTTTCAATATATAAAACTAATTATTGTTGAAATTAATAAATAATTTGAAGAAGAATAAGAATAAGAATAAGAAGAAATGAGAGTTGTTTCATGTGTCACAGAAGTGAGAAATGTATGTATTTGGATGATTTCAAGAAGTTGGCATATTAAGTGGGAAAAGTTAATAAGAGTATATTGGTAAATGAATACAATAAAATATTCTATATTAGGAAACAGACATATATATTTGGGACAAAAAAAATCCAGCCTATATAATTTGAACAGATGGAGTAATTTTGATCAAGTGTTTTTGGAAACCTCTTTCCCACATAAGAAAATTAGTGGGAAGTGTATGGTTATGAGTAGTGCTACTCGTCCAGGGAATTAAATCCCAACTAGAAAACAGATACATGTGGCAGGGTATATTCTTTCGATAAAAAGTCACAATTATCCTTTCGATAAAAAGTCACAATTATCCTTACTTTATACTTTTAGTTTAAATCAAGGTTTTTTATTCCTAATATAGGATTAGTTTGGTTTATCTCTCCTAATAAATGGAAAAGCCAATTATGCTCGTATTTATCAATATATTTTTTATTAAAACAATCGTTTAATATTCTAATTTTATTTTCTAATTTATTAATTTCTTTATTAATTCTGAATATATTTTCTGTAAAATATAAAGGCACAGGTAGATTTCTACTATTTTTCAGAAAATAATCAAGCACCGTATAAAATGATTTAATTTCTTCTCTTTTCCTTTCGCAATCAATTTCTAAATATTGAATGATAGTAACTAAAACTTCATAAATATCATAAGTGCAAATATTAATGCAAGTATTCAACATAAATAAGAAAGATCTTACAGTATTGAAGCAGAAGGTAAATGCAGAATAATATCAACGAGATTTCCCTC